CTCAGTGCAGAGGAGTAATGCGAATCGCAGGTCACATAGATTGGACATAGAGAGGATTCTGTCCACTTTCCAGAGGCGCTGAAACCAGCCAATCGTCATCGCAGCTAAATCGCAGGCATGACCGCTCTCAGGATCCTCTCTGGTCAGACAAATCAGACACGTCGGTAAAATCACCAATCTATGTGACCCTGCGATTCAATGCTTCTCACTGTACGTAGTTCCTTTTTTGAAAACGTGGACGTGGAGCGCTGGTGTACGGAGGAGAATCGTCGGTTCACCCAAAAAGCGTTGGCCTCTCTCACGCTTCTCTCTGGTTCGGTGGAAGGTTTTTGATATCGTCGTTTAGCTTTGAGAGTTTATTATCTTTTTCCATTTAAATATTTGAACCGTTTAAAACTTCTCCGACGTGCCTGCCGTGTAATCAATCTACTTAATCCAACCTAATCGAAGAAGAATATACATGTCGATATAAACGCATGATAGTTTCGTAAAATCGCAAGTTGTCGATTTTTTAGCTTATGGTCCTTGCTATCGCCAGTAAAATGGATTTTGGTACTCTAATTTCCGTCGCGCAAAAGAACGAAACGAAGAAACAGGTTAGTCTATTTGTTGACATACATACATATATATATATTTTATTCACAATTGGCAAAAGTGTACAGTTGACGTAGACGTAGGGTACAATTCGGTTTAGGTTTAGGTTAGATACTTTTCGCCAGCACATCATTCTTCTTGAGGTGTCGTCTCTTTTTCAGCAGACCGCTAAGTGCTACCAGACAAAATTTACAGCCCCGAAGAAAGTGTCTAAACAATCTAAAGCCCTTTCTGATAATATAAAAAAATTTTTAGCTCGGAAAGAAGAAGAGGAAAGACGGAAAGCCTTGGAAGAAAAAAGGAAAAAGGAAGTAAGTTAGTAAAGAGAAAGCATATAATATAAAAAGATTATTGTGAATAATTTATTTATATTTATATCTTGCTCTTTTCGTATAATTTTCAAGTATACAAGCGCAACGACAAGACTGATATTTTGAGCTCTTGCAACACTAAGTTTTTGCCTCGATTTTTGCGTTAAATATCTTTCACTTTAATAACATTTCTTTGTTTTGCTTGTTGTTTTAATTTGTATTTTTTGAAAAAAACCTTTTATATCTAGTTATCCATATTTTCAAGAATTTCTTATGGAAACATCCTGGAGTATCACATATTTCTTAAGAAACTTGACTTTGAAAACATAAAGTATATCATATTGTTACGCTCGAGAAACATTTGTGGCACACTTTTACACATCACAGAAATAACAACTTAGTTCAGGACACTTTAGGAGCATAAGGAGTTTAATTCCCAAATCTTGTGTACGCTGAAAAATATTGATAATAACGGAAAATAATCAAATGAAGTTAACTGCTCTTAATATGTCTCACATCGAATCTATTAAACTCCATATGTCGAGTCATTAATTCTCATCAAGACGATCTTCTTTCTCTAATCTTCCTATCGTTCGCTGGACTTGACTGCAGCCAAGTTCAGCGGCGTTTACAATGAGAATTAAGATTTAAGAGTTAAGAAAATTGACCAATCACAATTGATTATTTTTCTCACATGAGGTGAATGATCAATTATGATGGATTAATTTTCTTAAATTTTGAGTCTTAAGTCTCATTGTAGACGCTACATTCAACATCGATCTGGCACAGTTGAAAGAAGTGACAGAAGAAGACTGTGAAGTGTAATATACTATATTATACTATTTATTAGGATGTTTACTATCTAAAAAAATTTAGAGAATTTGAAATTTTCAGGAAACTTCTTTTTTATCCTTAAAAATCAAGCATTTTATTGATACTCAGGAAAATGTTAGAAATTTTACTTTTAAATTTAAAAATAAGTCACTTTTTTTCTCAAAAAAGTACAGTGTTTAACACGTATCTATTATATCACGTACAAATTGTATTTGATTTTTTCCAGAATCTTTTAGCTTTACGAGATCAGAAGACTCAGAATCGAATAAACAAACACTTGAAAGTTTGTAAAGCAGCAAACAAGTCGGCGATCGAAGATGCCATTGACAGTGAAAATACAGCTATTACTATCGCAGGTACCACACAATTTGTTTAAATAATCTTATTTTTTTAATGGACAACACAAAGTCTGTTTTATGTTTTTATCCAAAAATACAAATTACATATTATTGAAAGAGGGGACAAATGTTAGTAAAATGTAAAAATAAAGTTCCAAACGAGAATACCGAGACTTTTATTTGATGATAATAAATTTGATATGAGCTTGACCAGCAAAAAAACTCCATAATGGGCAATATTTTTGCCCACAGATAATATATACGAGCAATACAATACATTATTTATCCATCATCTCAAATCAAGGCAGAACAATTTCACAGTGGATTTGCACAGCGATGGATGCTTTAAGGTCAGCCGTATAATTCTGAAGTAATCTAGATAACTCATAAGTACTAAGTCTGCTATAGCTTGGTCCTTATAATATTTGTGAATAATTTTTCAAGTAATTTAGAATCACTATTTTATTCATATTTATCATATCAATGTATGCATGTTGTTTTATTATTTATATATATTTTTTTAATAAAATCATTTTTAATGAATATTTTGATCTTCTAATATTTTATAAGTTTTGTCACAAATCTGTTGAATTATTTATACATTTTATTTTCTCATTCTATATTAAATGTTATTCGAATGAAACGAATATTAAACGATATTAAATATAATATTTGACATTAAATGTAATAATAATTGTGATGAAGAGTAAAAGATGTTATTAACATTTAGCTTAGATTACATATGGTATTACTTCATTATTTTTCTATAACAGCTGTTCTCTCAACTGCTTCTCCTTTTATTTTTTATGTTATTTATTTTAATTTATTTCTATTATTTAGTGGATACTATATTAGTATTGGCAACTCAGAAACTATTTTATCTATAAAATAATTTTTTGTGCTTGGTATTTGGAACTTTATTTTTATGTAATTGTAAAATGGTATTTGACTGAATGTGTGTGCTCGAAGTATATCTTTAAAAATATATCTTTGTAACGTATTATGATAATTGATAAATCATACATAAATTGATTGTATAAAATATTATCATTGCAGGTCCATCTCAACCTGATGAAGATGATTATGGATATGAATCCCAGACAGCTTCTGCACTGTACAATCAATTTATGAGTAAATATAACAGTTTACCTCCAGAGAAGCCCATTTTTAATACTAGCGAAGCAAGAACGGTGAAAGATATTGCAACCACAAAGGTATCTTTATAAAAAATTGAAGAAAATGTAATGAGAAATGAATGTGAATTACATAATTTATTGTGAAATCTAATTGAAATATGGATTATCCAAAAATTTGTTATCAGCACTGACTGCAGTCGCACAAAGCCACGTATCACTCCGTTTGAATTATAATATGTTTACGTAATACATTATAAGTAGAAATTTTATGTTTCAAATATTTTTTACATATATATATATATATAAAACTATTACTGTTGTGCAATATTGTTTGTTATATATGTTTATATTACTACTGCTATATTAATACTTAATATAATTTTATTATATTAATGGAAAAAAAGAAGTAGCAAATATGCGTTACCATATCACTTTATACAATTTAATGTTATTTTATATGTTTATTGTTATAGGACAGAGTAAAACAAGCTTTGAAACAGCAAGAACTCGAAGAAAGTAGCGGACATAGGAAGAAAAGGAAATCGTCCGTTTTGAATGTAAAAGAAACTGAAGTTGAGGAGAAAGTAGATAAGAACAACAAAGAAATTAATAACAAAGAAGTTAATAACAAAATTAAAGAAGATAAGGACGAAAAACCTAAAGTGAAGAGAAAATCATTGCCACCGCCTATGGGTTTTGCGGAACTTTTAAAACTTGCCGAGACAAAGCAGCATGAACCTGTAGTTATAGAAGTTAAACCAAAAGTCGAAAATGAACGACCAATGACAAAACGTCAAAAAATGGAATACTTACACGAAAAAGAGAGGAAGGAGCAACGTGAGAAGAAAGATTTAGATGTGAATAAAAAAACGAACATTACAAGTACATCCAGCAAACCTGATAAAACACAATTAAATAAGGTTCCGAAAGCTACTGAAAAATCTGTAATAACACCAAATAAAAGTATTTCCAAATCTACAGTCACTTCTAAACAAATCATTGATAAATCCGACGATAAACATAACATCGAAAAATCAAATTTGGACCAAAGCTCATCTAAGAATGAATTATTAGAAGAACGGAAAAAATTGGAAGCTGAGAGAAGACAATTGGAGGAAATGCGACGCACTATCGAAGAGGAAAAAAGAAAATTAGCACAAAGTAAAAGTAAACTGGAAGACGTAAGATCTGAACCTTCTAATAAATTAAATATTACCAAGCCTAAAACTATAAATAAACAAACATCTAAGGATATTAAGCCGCGACAATTCCCTCCTTCGGATTTAAAGTTACCAGCTCCTACCTCTTCAGCTAATACCAAGCCAAAACAATTTCCACCACCCGATGTTAGGCCCCCAAAATCTAAGGCAGTCGTCAAAAAAGCACCCAATAAAAGTAAATTTACTTTTTATTTATAAATTATGTGATACAATCAAAGAGCTTTATTAAAAGTTAGACAATAATTAATTACTTGAAATATATTTAATTTTGCAGGACGTATCTGCGATGATGAGGAAGACGATTCAGATTTGGCTGATTTTATAGACGATGGACTAGAAGAAAACGAAGAAGATTACAGTAAACATATTAGCGAAATATTTGGCTATGATAAGAATAAATATAGAAATATTGATGATGCAGATGATACTGCAATGGAAAGTAATTTTGCACAACAATTAAAGGAAGAATATATATCTTCAAAAATAGGTATTTATAATACGAGTATTTTGTAATTTGTACATATAAATAACATGAATAGCTCTTAACGTAAAATTGGACATTTGCAGGATATATGGAAGATTTAGAAGACATGCGTATGGAAGCATTAGAGAAGCAGAGAAAAGCTATTCTGAAGAAAGGGATCAAAAAATAATATAAATTACTTTAGCTTTGTATATATTTATTTCATCTTTGGACATATTGATATTTATTGGATTATATATTAATGAAAGTAAACTTACTTTTATTGGATGCTTTCTTTATGATTGTTATGATTGTTAAAACGGTCCACTTAATGCTACAAATACTTCAAAGCATTTTTTGATTGATTAATTAGTAAAGTTCTTTCTTTTGATTGCTTCAAAGTATGTAGTATCAAGTAGACCACATCCTTTAAGTTGCAAAAATGTATGTAAACACGTTAATTTTGTTTGTATATGCATTAATATAAAAAGTTTTGTTAAAAAGATTTTTTTTCTTATTTTTTTTCTAGTTTATAAAAATTATATTAATTAACATATATTTATGTGCTGAAAAAAAACTTTGATCTAACGACTGAAAAACGTTTTAGTATTAAAATATTCATGAAATTATAAGTTGGGAGTTCCAAATAGCAGTTACTTATTTTCGAATTTTAATTTCGATTTTTGGCCTGAAATATAGTATACAAAAATTAGCAAATAGCGATAAATTATCAATTTACCGTTTTTTTTCATACGGAACAAGAAAAGAGGAGACCAAATTAGAGCCGGTCACGGAAAAGTTGGTTCGATTTTAGGCTTGACTAAATTGCTTTACGGATGTATAGAGTTCCTTGGGAGAACAAATTGAGGTACATTCGTTTTTTATTTACATTTAATAATAATGTTTTTCTGTTGAGAATTATTGATTCTTCAGCATATCTGAAGTAAAACATGTAATTTAAATCATTTTATTTTACAAAAATATAAAGAAAAACATATATAAAGAGCTAAAATAATTTATAATTTTTATTATACTGACAATAAAATAATCAAAAGACCAAAAATTAAGTTAAAAATAGAAAAAGAAGAATAAAATATAGAGAATAAGAAATGTTTATTATGCGCATTAAAATAGCATGTCACAAATAAACAATATCGTAAATTATATAATTGTTACAAACTTTTGAAAGAAAACAATTTGTAAATATTTTGTAAATAAAGAAACGAAATTATAAGAAACTTTTATAATCAGTCTTAAAAGAAAATGTCAATTCGATGAAAGAGCAATAAACGAAAATTATAACAAAACATGATTATTGCGCTACATAAGTCATTATAAGCCGATAAAATCAGTATATTAAAAATACTTAGGGCTAAGAAATATGTATGAACATATATGTATTTTTATTTCTCATTTCAAAATATCGGAAATTCACTGTGTATGTACGCATCTTGTATATTTTATACATTTGATATATTGAGTAAACAGAAGCTACGTGTATCTATGGAAACCTTCATTATTCTCAAAGCACATATCACCATATTCATCATGCATAGTAAACGCGTTGAAGCCGATTTGACTTCTACTATAAGGAACGTGTTTTTCTTTAGATATCAATATAAATAAAGGAAAACATTTGTACAGATAAAACAAAATGTTGGAAGACGAGTCGCGGGAACGCCAATCCGAGTTTCGTGACGAGAAAAAACAGAAAGCAGAAAGGGATAATGACAGAGTAAACGAGAGTACCTACGATTCGAATAAATACATATCCGAAGCAAGACGCGTGCCGAATGGAACCGTGCCCATAAACATTTTACAGTTTCAGTATCCTTTTTTTATTATACAATAAAACAGTGAAGTCTCTTTTTTCTTTTCCGAGTCGCGCAAATATTATTATAACGCGCAATAATATGTTTATAATAATTTCTTTTTTTTTAGTAAAATTTTCTTGTTTCTACTGTTACAATTCAAAATTTTCAAGTATTAATTGTGTTATTTCCTAAAATCTTCGTTGTTTTTTCTTTACTCTCCCTTAATTCTTTTTTAAACATTGTTAATCCTTCTCGAATAGTAGATTTTGCAGAAATAAATTTAATAGAACAAACTTTTAGAAGTTTTCTGAAGCTTTTAAAAGGTTTAACAATAGTCTAAATAAACAGCTTGTAATTAAAAATACACATATGTTCCTTACACAATATTAGTCATTCATTTTCGTACGACTGTCAAAGATATTTTAATCTTTGCGTGATAGAACCGAATGTTGTCATCTTCGCTTCTGGTAACATTTTACATTTTTTGAATACCACGACCAGCCAGCTATGGTTTAGAAGAGGATACACGAGTGGTGGAATTGGACACATAACGGTATTTTTTATAATTATATCTGTCATAACGTATACAAGTTGTAATTGCTTGAAGAAGGTTGTATGCAAAGAATCCTGACAAAGCAACAATGCAATAAAAAAATAAAGTTCAATTTTTTCATTAGTTTTTAATAAACTTTTCTTAAAGAAAAGATAAACATTTAAACATGAAATCCATGCAGTATGATTTTTTATAATATTATTTTTCCGTTTCTCTAGAAAAATCCAATGTTTGATCATATTGCCGTTGGCGAAAATGGTATTAAACCTCCAATAATAATATATAAATGGCCTTCGATGGATATTGTGACGATTTTAGATAATGGCACGATAAAGTCCTATTGCCATTTAACATATAGGTATGTTATAAAGGATTACGATGCAAGATCGCATTTATCGTCGCATTTTAAATATTTTAAAAATTGAATTTACATATTTTACACATTCTCGCAGTGCGGATGGTTTGTTGCTAGTGTCACAAGGAGGAGAGCCAGATTATACAATTACCCTTTGGGATTGGCAAAAGTCTGAGATAGTATTAAAATGTAAATCTTACAATCGGGATGTTTACAATGTAACGATATCTCCGTTATTACCTGGATCTTTAGCGACGAGCGGCTTGGGACATATAAAATTTTGGAAAATCTCCAAAACGTTCACCGGGCTTAAATTAAAAGGCGAGATTGGTAGATTTGGCCAGACAGAGATCTCTGACATTGTGGGTGTATACATCATGCCAGATGGCAAGGTGAGCATTGCTCAAATATACTCGATGTCTTTTAATTTAAATTTACTCATAATTTTTGTTTAGAATTATATTGTTTTTAGGTTGTATCAGGCTGCGAATGGGGAAACATTTTATTGTGGGAAGAAGGCTTAATTATTTTTGAAATATGTAGGAAAAATCGGCAGCCCTGTCACGCTAAAGCAATCACACAATTTGAGTATATGAATGGAGAGCTTATATCAATTGGTAAAAGTCTTTTTCATATTCTTCTTATCTGGTTATTATGAGAATTTTTTTTTGCCAAAACATAGTTAATAATTTTAGTTAAAAAGAAATTAGAATATATATATATATATATATATA